TCCCCCGCGGTCCTCCCAAAGGCCCCATTTTCGCACAGCTGGTAGGCGGTTCCAAAATGCCCACCCACTGTGTTGCCTCGCTTTAGAGGCACCGAAAATGGCCGCCCCTATGGAGGATTTTCGCATAAGGTGAGTTTTTAAGCCCACAGGAACACATTAAACATGTTTTAATGCATTCCTATGGGCTTTTTTATTTCGCATAGTGACGAATCCGGATAGCAACAATTTTTCCGGAACGGATTATCATCGTTATGCGGGGCACCACTGTATTTTGAAATGTTAGTTATAGCATACAAGTTGATCTCAAGAACTAGCTGGAGAACTTGCTTAAAGACTAAATGTTTCAAGGTGTACATATCTATAGTACAGTGGACCCTCGACTTACGGAATTAATCCGTATTGGAACGGTGGCTGCAGGTTGAAAAGTCTGTAGGTCGAGGCTCCATTGACCTACAATGCATTGAAAACCGATTAATCCGTAACCGGCCATTTTTCTTCCATTTTGGTTTTTTAACTCATCTTTAGGTCGATACTCTGGCTGCATGTCGAACCTAAATTTTGCGGCCAGAGAAGTCTGTAACTCGAAAAGTCTGTAAGTGGAGCCGTCTGTAAGTCGAGGGTCCACTTTATGCTAATAATTAAAGGCATATTTAATTAGACACCCAGATTTGCTGTGGAAACAAAGGCTTCAAGATAAACTGTTACCGTGGAAGTGAAATAAAAACTAGAGGAAAATAGTAATGTTTGCTGCTCTTTTTTCTAAATCTTAATAAAAGCAAAAAATATTCCTGTTCCTCCTCTTTCTGCTGCATTTTTCCGCTCTGGGGAATTGCCTAACATATACCTCAGTGTCATTGAACAAGTCTGCTTCTTTGCATGGATTCCACTTCACAGAAAGAGGGTATGGTATAAAATCCAGGTAAGGATAAATGGATGTCCTGGTGAAGTTGAAGCCATGAATTCCATCTTCAGGAAAGATAATTATTTGTGCCCCCTAAAAATAAATAAAGATGTCTGTCAGTTAAATTAAGAAAAAAAGGTGATGTTAAATCTCTACAAGAAGTGGATTATATTTAAACCATTCAAGAGTTGCCAAGTATCAAAATGCAGTGTGTAGTACTACTTCAGTTTAGTTTATATTCCAGACAATTATAAAGCTCTGGACATATTGTTGTCCAGTTAGATTCCATACATGTGGGAATGTATGCCATAGCTAAACATATAAAGGTATTTCTTGTCATGTTAATATCCATGTTGTACGAACCATGTTGAAGAAGTGGATTATATTTAAACCATTCAAGAGTTGCCAAGTATCAAAATGCAGTGTGTAGTACTACTTCAGTTTAGTTTATATTCCAGACAATTATAAAGCTCTGGACATATTGTTGTCCAGTTAGATTCCATACATGGCTTTATTATACCAGAGAGCGTGGTACAATCACAAAAGCATTATCCAGATAACTGTGTGGTCTGCATCCATAAACTATTTAGCTTAAAGCAGTCTCATCAACATCCAGACAATTTAATCCATAATTCTCTTCCAGTGGCAATGGATTCAACTGGATTAGAAAGAAGCATGGTAGCTGAGTGCACACTGTTTTAGGTGAGTACTTGAGACAACCCCTTCATGGATTGCTGCCCTTGTCGTGGCAAAGGGGCTTGAGAAATTCAGAGAAGCTATGAGCTATACTGTGCAGGGACACCCAAGATGGACAGGTCATAGTGGAGAGTTCTGACTAAACACGATCCACCTGGAGCAGGAACTGGCAAGCCACTCCAGTATCTTTGCCAAGAAAACTCCATGGACAGAAACAAAAGGCTAAAAGATATGATGCTGGAAGATGAGCCCTTCAGGTTGGAAGGTGTCCAACATGCTACTGAGGAAGAGCGGAGGACAAGTAAAAGTAGCTCCAGAGCTAATGAAGTGGTTGGACCAAAGCCGAAAGGACGCTCAGCTGCAGATGCACTTGGAAGTGAAAGGAAAGTCCGATGCTGCAAAGAAAAATGCATAGGAAACTGGAATGTGAGATCTATGAACCTTGGTAAGCTGGATGTGGTCAAACAGGAGACGGCAAGAATAAACATTGACATCTCGGGCATCAGTGAACTAAAATGGAGGGGAAGGGGTGAATTCAATTCAGACAATTATCATATCTACTATTGTGGGCAAGAATCCCGTAGAAGAAATGGAGTAGCCCTCATAGCCAACAAAAGAGTGGGAAAAGCTCTACTGGGATACAATCTCAAATGACAGAATTATTTCAATACGAATCCAAGGCAGACCTTTCAACACAGCAGAGAAGGGAAGGGAAACAAAATGCAAGGAAGACAGGGAAAG